AGACAAACCTATTTCTGCTCTATGACACTTTTACATGTTTCTCCCATAATTCTGTTCTATTTCTGCACTGATCTTTTTTTTAAAAAATGATCTCAAAATACACATTTAAATGCTTTTCCTCTTCCAAACATGTAATTTGTACACTGTTACCTTAACCTACTGAGTATTACATCAAAATATTTGGAGATATGTGAATACTGGGGTAGTTAAGTTCTACTTCTCATATTGCAGGAATTTTAGATCAGAAAAAAAAACAACCCATATAGAAATCCACAATGATCATTTTCACAATGATCATATTCCTCAAACTCTCCCTAGAGATATAAATGTTCAGGATTCTCTGTAGCTGCTTGTCCACATAGAAACTACTGTACTGTTTTGACCATGTTGAGCATTGGCCTTTATAAGCAGTAAAACGAGTGCAAAGGGCTTGTTTTCTGTTGCATTCTTTAATTATGATAATGGACTAAGTCAGGATAATAGTTGCCAGGCACAAATAATCATACTTATGAATAAAATAGTTTGTTCTAATGCTGCATTTGGATAGGACAATGTTTTGCTCCAGCCTGGTAACATTTTTAAAATGTCATACTGGATTTGAACAAGTAATCCCATTGTAATGTAAAATATAACTGAATTGGAATGAAGCAGAGTAATTCTAATTGGTGCAACAGATTTTTTTTTTCTTTTTTTGCTGCTATGATGATACACCAGCTTTCAGCTCAAAGTTCATACACTCCTCAAACAGGGGAGTATTTATTTTAACAGATCAGCTTGACCCAAGAGATGTTGCACATACAAAAATAAAATGATAAACTAATTTCCCCTTTACAACCCAATTCCATGCCTCCTCCTTGCATCACATGGAATCTCTTTTTGTCTGTTTCTGTACCTTTTACATACCATAGCAGAACTATGTGAGTTGTTACAGGGTTGCTTTTCTCTGTAAAAGATAACTAGATCTACAGTACTCAAATTTTTATTAACATTAGCACCTGAAATTTATTGTTAGGGAGTTCCAGCGTGATCTACTATTAACAACATACACACAGTTGCTCACAAGGGTTATGTTTTTGCCATGAAAATCATTGACTCTTTTTGACAAGCATTGTTATTTTGCTGCTTGACTATGATTGCTGGGCAGGGAGAATAAACACATTAGCTGTTGTGCCTGTCACTCACTTAGCACAGGGGACTCCTCACATCCAGCAGCAAAGGTTGATATTTGTCCTCCAATCTAATTTGCCTGGCCTGCTGGCTCTGATCAGTTCAGGCGATGCTCTTAGCTCTTTCCCCAATTTGTCTCTGCAAGCTCCCCAGCCAAAAAAAGAGAGAGAGATTGTGCCCTGGAGGCTGCTTCTCATCTCTCCATCTGCACCTTCATAAAGCCCTGTGAAAAAAGCACTTGGCCTTTGAATCACAAAGCCAAGAACAGGACCACAAATGGGACTGTGCACACATAAAATATGTGAAATAGACTGAATCCCAACATGTATTCAATTTGGATGTGGGAATTTCTGGTTCGTGTATTTCCATCAAGAGCACAGGTTCCCACCTTTTTTATATTATAGGTGGTGGCGGCATTTTTTTTTAAATATAAAAAAGATCACAATTCTAAGAGTAGGGAGTAGTCAATTAACATTTTGAACAGTGCCAAGAATTTTTAAGCTGGACATTTAAAATGTTCAGAAACTAGGCACTAAATCTGCCACATAGCGAAGATGCCGCTATGTTAAAGCAAAGCAAACCCTTCAAAACCTGAATTTCTTTTCTTTTTCAAAATTGTAACTCCAAACATATCAGCATAGATCTCAAGGCAGGAAGCTTAGAATATTTTTAAAAATAACTCGGAAAAGAATGTTTCCTTTCCTTTTCCCCTTCCCCCTTCCTACTAGCTCCTTGCCACATTGCTTAAAGCAACAGAAATCCTTTGGACAGGGTTGTCTTTTTTTACAGCCTTTTCCTTTTCTATTTCTGCCAATGCACTTTCCCACTTGTCGTCATTTGTGTTTTTCATTCTAAAGCTATTTAAGTTTTCAGTTAACTTTGGCTTTTTTTTATTAACAGCCTTTACTCTTCTCATGCTGGGTAAAAATTACGCTGTGCATTGAACACTTTGCTTAGTATCCGGCGAATGACATATACTTGCCAGTTGGGTCTTCATCCTCCAAGTACTTCAAGTGGCCTCAGAAGTTGGGGAGAAATCTGGGACGACCAAGCTGTTATTTATTTAGTTTTAAGACCAAGAAAGCTAATCTATGACTAGGCAACACATTCTGTGATGCTTTCAAATTGCAAAGGTTCTCATGTTTGTTGGGACAGTTGACACATTTCAGAAGTGTAGACTGCAGATAATCCCTACCACTCTTATTTCCTTTCTCTTTTCAGGGACTAAAATATCTGGTGGTCCATGTGGGAGATTCAGAGGCTGGTTGATACATAACATCTCTCCCACAAATAATCTGAATAATCACCACAGTAAATCCAGTGTTGCAGTTCAGAGGTGAAAGTGCTCCTAATATACATATGCAACATCTTTGCTACTAGTAGCGTAAGTGTGCATGTAGCAAACCTGAAACATTCCATAACTTACAATTACATAGCAAGGGCTGTGTGTTGGGTATGGGGAGGACGTTGTGTTCAAACTGTTTCATCAGCTCTCAAGAGGCCCAAACAGCAAGAGAAAAGCTACTTTTAACATGCTCTTAAGACACAGTCATCAGGAGTGTTGCTAGGGATGGGTCCTTGGGCACAGGCTCCCCCTTTTTCCCTGAGTGCCTCAAGAGCTTCTAGGTGAGTAATTAATTCAAGGAAATAAATTAAGAGGACTATCTAGTAAGATTGGTGGTACTTGAAGAGATCTGGAACAGGATCTGTTGGGAAATTACCGTAATTGAGGTCAAGTGAATGATTGAGGGTGATCTAGAGTGGGGTGCAAATTAAGACTTTATTGGGGGCAATTTGTGGATTGGAAATTAATTTGTTTCTGTGATATTTGTATTCTAAATTGGCATACGTAAATATCAGCTTATACTTGAAATTCGGAAGTACTTAGCAATCCCCCTATTTATCATGCTCTTGGTATCTCAGCACAAACCACAAGGAGAAAAGGGATTTACTGGCAACCAGGATCCCAGGTTCATAAAAGCACTGCATGGATCTTTGCTTTCATGAAGAATGAGTTTATGATCTGTAGTCCATACAACAGTGCATTTTAACCAGAAGACCAAGCGTTCAGCCTTTTGCCACAGAAAGGAGTTCAAGTTTCTCAGCAGCACAACTTTAGCATTGTTTTGCACAATTCATTTGTGATATCACCTGCGATTTCATGCAAAGAATGAAAGCTTTATTTACATTTGCAACTTTTTCTGGATTATTATCCTTGTGATCATATTTATTCAGATGAATGCAGGTGTTAACAGGACATGAGAAAATCTTAACATGCAAAAGGATAACGTGGCATTTTCTGGAAGGTGCTTAAGCCCTTTATGAGAAGGCTTGTTCCTACACAGGAGGGCTCATGCTCAGAGCAGAGGACATATCAAAGTAATAGTAAAAAAAGGCAAATCGAGCAAATGAGTCATGGCTGGAGCCATTAGGACAGCAGCCAGCTACATAAACATTCCAAGGTGGAACCTAAGAAACATTGCTTGTTGTGCCTGTTTCATCCCACCTTTCTTTCTTTAGTAATGGCTATTTCAATTAATTCATGTCAGCAACTGACTAAAACAGTAGCTCAACCGATCGTGGCCTAGAAGCCTTGAATATGATGGTGGTGGTTGTTTTAATTGTAACTTACTTTTACAATGTGCAGGACAAGCAGATCAAAGGCTAGTAGAGCTGAACCAACTGGGGCTACATGATGTTGCCTAAATGAGGTTATGAGAACAAAAACAAGCAAGGAAAAGGTGTGTGCCTTAGGCTACAAACAATGACCAGCCAAAGGAGAGGTGAATATGATCTCCTGTGCTGTACTGACTGAGTAGTCTTGGAAAATGGTTTTCCCTCTGACACTTTGTCCATAGGTTACACACCTGGGCAGGCCATATTGGGTTTAAAGAGCCCAGCAAAACCGTTACCTCTCTTTTTGCTGTTTAGATGTAGTTCACTGCAAACTGGACTGCCAGTAATTCAAGCTACTGATCAAACAGAACTGATGCCAGGAATGTTAACAGTATGTTGTCCTCTTGCTGTTGCTGTAAGCAAGTGACAAGGGGAAAGTGATGCTCTGATCCAAGGCAACTGCCGACTGGATATATTGTTCCCCAGTGCAGGATATACAGTATGCTGCATAATTTATGCAATCACAATGTACCTCTTATTAGCATAGCAGCACCATTCAGCTAGAGTTCTGACGAAGCCACAGGCCATCTTGGCTGTGAGTCCTCCTGGAAGGCATGCTCCTTGCCTGGGAGGGATAAAAAGCTGAGGCTACTGTGGAGACTATCTTGGCTGTTTCTTAGTGCAGACCCAGGTCATGAAGTCTGAGCTTCCATGACCGCCACTCACCATGAACTACCATTGGCAAGATTGACAGCAACAGCACCAGATGTGTTCTATGCTTGTGACAATATTTTATTCTCATTAATTATACTGTTTCAAATGTGCCTTTTATATTTCACTTCCTTTAGTAATGTTTTCTTCTGACATGTTTAATAAAAATGTACTTCATTGTGTTAAATGTACATTCTGTAGTTGACCTCCTTTGTAACATTTTATTTTGAAATCTTCTAATATTTTGGTTTCATTATGCTTTGGATGTATGCTGGCTTTTTTTTTACTTTCTTCGGTAATGTTTTACTATGGTATGCTTTATTTGATGTTTTGCAGGCGTAGGCAAACTCAGCCCTCCAGATGTTTTGGGACTACAACTCCCATCATTCCTAGCCAACAGGACCAGTGGTCAGGGATGATGGGACTTGTAGTCCCAAAACATGTGGAGGGCCAAGTTTGCCTATGCCTGTTTTAATGTGTTGTAAACCACTTCCAGATTTTTTTCTTTAAAATATAAAGTGATACAGAAATGAAATGAATAATAATAAAGCAAAAGAAATTTTTGAGAACGCTGAAATGATGTGATTGAGGTAAGCTGGTTCCCTTAGTGGTCTGTATGATTCCTCAGGCAGGAAACTGGTGAATATTGGGAAGGGATGCAACTTGGGAGAAGGGAAGCAAAGAAATAGGAGGTCATTGTGGAGGGTTGACTTGCTTAATGCTACAACCATCCTGTGCCTCAGCAACCTATAAGAGGCAGAGTGCCAATAACACAGTTGAGTGCCCACCTCTTCTTGAGGCTGAAAATATTGACCAGGTTTCCAGAATATCCCCACCAAGAGCTGCAACACCAAGGCATCTAGAGAATCTACCATTTCAAAAACAAAAGCTGCCATTTCCTTAAACCTTCAGAGACAGAGTAGACTAAGGGCAGGGACCTTCATTAAAGCAAACGGTTCATTAAAGCAAAAGGGAAAGGTGCAGTTTTGCTCTTCCTAGGATGTAGCACCTAGCCACGGAAGTTTAATTACCTGTAAGACAAGTACAACATTTATTTATCTTGTTCAATAACTACATGAAACACAAGGATTCTACTTTTTGTTGGACTTTACTCATCCTTGTCTGGTCGTTTAAGGAGTATTTCTAAATTAACTCATCGATTACACACACACACAATTCTGATCTCCTTTGACTGATACAGGCTATCTCACATGTATTTTACAATGAGAATGAATTAGGGAACTAGATGCAGAACTCTGGAATCTCTTAAGGTGTTAGAAACATTAATGACAGTTAAAGAGTGCAAAATGTACATTCTTTATTCTGCCATACATTGATACAGAATAAAATTTGACTTTTCAAAATATAAAAGTATTGACAGCCCTGCAAGCTGTCAATTGGCTTTTGAGGATAAAGCACATATAATTTTTCCAGTTTTTATTGCACATCATTTACAGGCGTGTTTCTTATTATTATTTACAAGTGTTTGGGCAACACCCATTTTTTCCTAATACACTGTGTTGCACAAACAAAAACTTAAATGATTCAAGCATTCTCACAACAGAACTCAATAGGTTATTTATATATATTTTAAAAATTATCCTTAATCATTAGTCCTTCAGAAGCAAACCTTTGTCCTGGGAGTAATTTCTCCTGATGCAATTAGTAGTCAACCACTAGCACAACTTGTATCCAGAAGTGAATACTGCAAGTAAGCCACCTGCTGCTTCTCAAATACCCACTTCTAAGGCAGGATTTTTACACCTGCAGTTAGTGATCTGGCAGCATAAAAAGAATCAGGAGCACTGTTCTTTAGTTAACCAGTTTGATTCAACATTGATTAGCAGAAAGTATTTCACTGGCGATTGTGTTCACTTCATATATTAATGCTACATCAAAAATAAAGATAGGAATTCCAAGCACAATTCACAATTTGCATCCTGGGAATGTTTTTAGACTGTGGACCTATCTTTATTCTATGAAATATGCTACTTCAGAAACTTGTGTTAACATACACTTATTGTACACAGTTGTGCCTATTATGTGATTATTGTATGGCTGTCCACTTCCACTGGCATTTCCTAATGAAATTACTTCAGTGGTCCCTACCTACACTAAAAGTTGTCAATTGGTAATGGTGGTCTACAGTAATGGTTATTTTAAGAAAAGAGTGGCCATCTTTTAAGTGTTCACTTAAAGATCTGGTATTGGAGAACTACTATTTAATCCAACTAGGTTAGGTGCACAAAGATAAATTCTACTTGAACTGACAAAATTATGGCCTAAGGACTATTTTTAACTTCTACAGGATATCATAGCACAATCCTAAACATGTTTACTCAGATACCAGCTTCATCATGGTTAATAGGACTTGTAAGCAGGCTATGAATTTGGTGTCTTGACCAGTTTATTCCTTCCAGTTACATATTGTCTTGTATTTAGATGAGCTTGTTTATTCCAGGAAAAATAGCCACAAACTCTCCCCACTTCAGAGGAAAAATCACAGGGACATGCTGGTAAAGGGCAAATAATAAATTTAATAACAGCTATACTCAAATAACAGCAACAAGCAGGCTTAAGTAACTCGCCCTTATTTCAGTGAGCCTTTTCCGATGAGACTTAACAATGGGTACCCCCACCCCCCATGGTAGTAGATTTTTATTACTAAGTAACCAGCAGTGTTTAAAATGTGATTTAAGTCTTTAGAAATAATGTCTAACTCCAAATTTCAAATTAAATACATAAGGTGCCATCTCAAGAAACTATATGGCAAGGAGCCTGATTTATGAGGTGCTGTGCTTGTGCATGGGTGCTTCCCAACTCCATTGAATGGCAGCTCTTTCAAAAGCCCCTCCACACTCAGGAGGGCTCAACAGGCATGAGCATCTGTCACTGGATTGACATATATGCCTTTTGCCTTCACATACAAATTAAATCCTTTCTTCCAGCTCACAGGAAGGTTTGGTTTCTCACCATAAAACAAGCCATGGTTATTATTACTATTCTTATTTTTAAAATGTGTCTCACTGTTCTATATTATACAAATATTAATCAACATTGCTTGTGGCTTCAAACAAGTGGGTATGCAACCAGTGCTGCAAGGGAAGACCTCCACTTGCACAGCAGGACTTCTCGCCTTCCCCAAACCCTCTGGAGCAATTTTTAGGGTGTGTAGAAGGTTGCATGGGGTAGAAAATGAAGGTGACATCCAACCGCACAAGCGAAGTCTGTTACATTCATGTAGTGTTGGATACAACTCATGGGGCAAGGCTAACATTTGTTGACTACAGAAGCATATTGATGACAGGTATATTGGTGTTATACTGAAGTGGGTTATCAACCTTTATTACAAAACACCCTTTTATTGTTTTATACTTAAGAGCAAACTTTCATATTATCACAAATATTGAGTATTATCTAGTTAAAACTCTGGATTTCAGTATTTTCTACTTTATTACATTATTCATAAAGAATCCTTGAATATGTTTAAAATGTATCAATCTGTTCTAACATAGCCTCTATCTAATAGATGGGATTTTGTTATTATTATGTGGTGGAACTGAAGTATAATGCTTCAGTTATATATATTTTAATGGGTATATTTAAAACTGATTTATTTACTCAGGTGTCATTGTCTATACAAAATCTTTTTTGTTTTCAAATGAGTAAATTTTAAACAAATGTAATTAACATAGCAGCTATGAATAGGCCACAGAAAGAATGGGTTGTATCAAACGAAGTCACCCCATTTTCACACAAGGACATTGATTGTGCAATGGAACTCCCCCATTCCTTTCTCCATGCACCCCCACAGCATGATCTGGAGAGACAGGAAAAACTCCCAGAAGAGGTACATATGGGACAAGACAGAGAAATTCGGTTGCACAAGCTGTACTCCTTCTGTAAATAGGATGAATTTGGGGATATAACCCCAAGTTCTTAACAATTGTTTCCTAGTAGAATGAAGTTGATTGAAAGTAACTTACTACAGCTTGCTTCTCTGAACTCTGATTGCTAAAGTTATCCCTTGGTAACAGTCAACTTTAGACCTCCTTTTTGAAAATGGCTACCACTAAAGAGTTTATTTACTTTTTGCAGTTATTACAAAATGACCTATTTGACTTTGTACAGCTTTGTACTGCCCTGAGCTGAGTGGTGTTCAAACACTACAGTAGATTTAAAAACCCGCAATCCTAAAAGTAGTTAAGCTACAGTGTTCAAGCTGTTTACTGTGGAGCAACCTGCTTGAAGTCAGTACAATTACCTGAGAATTATGTAGTTTGAGGATTGCAACTTAAACCCCTTCAGGGTCACAGTGAAAGTAATTTAGATTCATGTACAAGGGAGAGAGGCAGATTCTGCTAGAGTAAGGGGTGAAAAGTTTCTTGCTTCAAATACATTCAGAAGCATGAACAACACAGGAGAGTTGCATATTGAGATGTCTGCTGAATTGTCCTTTTAATCAGTGCTTCAAATCACACTGAATTTGTGTAGCTTCAAAATGGCTCAACAAAGAATCAAACTGGTTCCTCTGGGCACATAACATAATTTACCAATAGATTGGTATCTTTGCCCTTTTGCTGTGAGCTGACAGTGATTATTTCAGAGAAGGAAAGTGTGGAATTAGTAATGCAGATGCTGAAAGGCAAGTGGCAAGACTCTACAAGAATGCCTCCAATAATGCTACTTGTTCCCAACTCTATTGGCACCTACCCCCAAGGTAAGAGGCCAGAATGACCAAAGCCAATTTAATAGTAGTGTGCAGAATGTCAGCCAAACAAACAACATAAAACAAGTCACGTTGTGTTATCGGTGGTCACGTTCTTCAGGGTTAGTCCAATAACTCAAGACTTTACATTCTTCCGTCTTTCCTTGTTTATTTTAATTAAACATGTAATGGTTAATAAACTGACATAGTCCAGAGTTAGTAGGTTGGTATTATAACATTTATTAAAATAATGCTATGGGTTAATAGAAACAGCAAAGAACCAAAGAATTAAAATGCAAGCTATGTAAAAACCCAACTAAAACCCAGATATGTCTAATGTATTCAATCCAGTAGCTAACTAAAAGCCCAAAGACAACACTCCCAATATAATAATAAAGTACTGCAAAACAATTGGCAATTTTCAGTTATCAAAATTGTGGGTTTTGCATTTTTGTATCCTTTTCTCAATCAGGAAAAAAATTCTTCTGAATGTTATATAACATACATATAAAACAAGATAGAAAAATACATTATAAACTTGTAACAATGGCTGTAAATACATTATCTTACATGTTTCTCATAGGCAATAGGTTGGTTATGGTACATACATAGCATCAAACTAAAGTAAAAGGAATAGACAAATACATGTCGTCTGTATGGTAACATACAAGCGATGTATGTATACCCACTCTAAAAAAAATTACATAATACTGTCAGAAAAAAGTCTTAAACTACATATTTTAATAAAGAAAAATTCAATAAAGAATGATAATACTGAGAACCAAGGCATTCAGAGATTTAAAATGTCATGCTTTAAGTTGATCCAAAATGTTGTCAACTAAGTCTTCAAACTTTTTCAGAACAAACATTACTTTTATAAGTCACACTTCTCCCAAGAAGAGACCTTTGATCAGCATCTAAAAATGTCCAGGTTTATCATAGTTGAGATGAAACTGGATCAAATACTGGTTATGTTTTAGCAATTCTCTCTCCAAAATTTTTGAGTGTTGCAAGTTTATTCAACCAAACAAAAATCAAAATGGCACAGCATATACTGAAAGTCAAACCAAAAAACCTATGTGTAACAGGAAGACAAAGCCAGTGGCAAGATAAAATAAAAGCTAGCTGAATACAAAAGGATGTATGTTTATTGCATAGTAAATAAATTGATACTTGTTTCCAGGTGAG